TGGAAAAAGGCAAATGTAGTGCCCATCTTCAAAAAAGGGAAGAAGGATGATCCAGGGAACTATAGGCTGGTCAGTCTTACCTCGGTTCCTGGAAAAATCATGGAAGGGATCCTTAAGAAATCCATTTTGAGGCACTTAGATGAGAGGAAAGTGATTAGGAATAGTCAGCATGGATTCACAAAGGGCAAGTCGTGCCTGACCAATTTGATTAGCTTCTATGGTGAGGTAACTGGCTCGGTGGACATAGGGAAGTCAGTGGATGTTATATACCTTGACTTTAGCAAGGCTTTTGATACGGTCTCCCACAATATTCTTGCCAGCAAGTTAAGGGAATGTGGATTGGATAAATGGATGGTAAGATGGATAGAAAGATGGCTAGAAGCCCGGGCCCAGCGGGTAGTGATCAATGGCTCGATGTCAGGATGGCGGTCGGTTTCTAGTGGAGTGCCCGAAGGTTCAGTTATAGGACCGGTTTTGTTCAATATCTTTATTAATGATCTGGATTAGGGGATGGATTGCACCCTCAGCAAGTTTGCGGATGACACTAAGCTGTGGGGGAGAGGTAGATACGCTTAAGGGCAGAGATAGGACTTAATAAGCTATGTTTAACATTAAAGGTGAACATATATCAACAAAACTTAGGGCCATGCACACGACAGATATAATTGAGATAAACTCTATGGTCCAAATTCAGCCCTGATGTGAGGAAGTGCAACCCCATTGAGCTCAACGGAATTTTTATATATTGAGATGTGTACTAACAAGTGCCTACTCAGGGCTCTGAGTGCTTTGGTCATACATAAAACACAATCAAGCAAGTATCAACAAAATAAATGCAACAGTTTTCCCAAACCTAGAAAAAGGAAAAATACCACCCCAGCTACAAACCAAATGTTGAAATCCAAACCTGAAAACTCTAACCAGAATTCAACGGGTAGCCACTGTAGCTCACATGGAACACTACTGTAATGTGCTCCTGATGAGAGACTCCATCTTGTAATTGAAAGAAAGAGCTGGAAGCCTGGGTCTGGTGTAAAGCCTGAGACCTGAACCAAAGTAAGCAAGAGTTGTACTATGAGTAACAGACAGGGCCTGTCAAAAGCAGATGTTTGCTTGAAAGTCAGTATCCAGGACATGAACACAGTGCTAGCACTGCTAAAACATATGGAACATATAAATACATTCCACCAGGACAGTACAAGGACATCCCAATCTAGCACACGGTAACATAGTTTGACAAAAGTGATGAATAGTGATATTTTGTCTGAAACGTCAGAAGTGAAAGCACATTAATAGGTGGTGAATAGGAATGTTTTGGCAGAAATATCAGGAGGAAAGTATAAGGGAAGGCAAGAAACATATCATTAATGCGTAAGATAATACGTAAGATGTGTATTATAGATTGTTTGCCTCACAGGACATAGATGAAAAAAATTACCAAACATATCATGTATATTTTCTTTTAATAGCAGCTGGGGATGCTGCAGTAATCCCAGACTGCAAATACTGACAATGAATGAAGGGTAGATATTGTCTTTGTTATATTTTTTTCCACGATTTGTCCCATATACCAGCATTACTTCTGTTTGATTTTGAGTGAGCATCAGCCAATTAGCTCTCTCTCATGTCCCATTCTAAGTCAAATCCAGGTAAGGAAGTTGATAGCACTGTGTGACGGGACGGCCCCGCCCTGCACTCAAGGCCAGGAAAAACACCTGGTGCCGGGGGCGGAGAGAGCCCCACCCACACAGCCCTACTGGGCATGCGCCAAGGGGAGCGCAGGTACAAAAGGCTGCTGGCCTGCTCAGAAGGGGCAGACTGCAGCCCGAGCTGGAGCTAGCGTCCAACTGCCAGAGAGGGAGTCGCCAGGAGGGCTGAACGTGCCACTGCTGAGCCTGAGCCGGGCTCGGCCCCAACGCCGCAGCCGCCGACCGACCCCCCGTGACCCAAGTGCCGGACCGGACCCTGCCAACTCCAACGCTGACCGGGGAAGTACCAGTACAGCCATCCGACCAACGCCGACAGGTGGGACCGCTACGGGCCGGGGGCCGGGGGCAGGAAGTGACCCAGGGCAGGGAGCTGTAAAAGCCCCTGAGAGCTCGGGGCGTTGCGGGGAGGAGCCCCCGCCGAGCCAGTGGTGGGAGCCACCCGCCACTACTAGGGCCCTGGGTCGGGGCCTGGGGGAGAGGGAGGGCCCTGGCCCCCTCCCCCGCGGAGCTGTAGAAGCCCCTGAGGGCTCGGGGCGTTGCGGGGAGGAGCCCCTGCCGAGCCAGTGGTGGGAACCACCCGCCACTACTAGAGCCCTGGGTCGGGGCCCAGTGGAGAGGGAGGGCCCGGGCCCCCCTACCCCTCCTTCCCTGACCCCTGGTGAGTGGGGGCTGGGATAAAGAACTTTGGACTAGGCCTCTGGGCCTGCGAGCTGTGGTCTAGGCCGGGAGGCCGTATTTCCCCTAGTGCAGGGGCAGTGAACTTTGGACTAGGCCAGGAGGCCATATTTCCCCTATTGCGGGGGCAGTGAACTTTGGGGGTTAGGCCGGGAGGTCGTATTCCCCCTAAAAAGGGGCACCACGCTTCGGGCCGAGGCCCAAGCGGTGTGAGTGATGCCCCGGAGGAGGGTGGCAACCCCCAGCAAGGGGGGGGCCCCTGACACATGGTGGAGAATGTGGGCATTGATCCCCGCCCCTGGGCAGAGGGGTTGGAAAAGGGGGTTGCTAAACCAGGGCAAAAAGCGCCCCGGAGACAGAGCGGGGGGTTGTTGACCTGGCAACAGCAGCAAGAAGGATACCTGACGGAACTGCAGAGTCAGTTAGCGGGGTTATGAAAGCGACAGGACCGCTGGGAGCTGGAGGTCGCGGGCCAGTTGTGGGCCCAGGGAAGGCTGGGGTCCCGCGGGGTCTGCCCCTTTGGGCAAGCACTGACTGCAGAGCCCGGAATGGGGCCAATGGAGCCCGCTAAAATGATGGTGAGACTCAGGGTGGAAGGGAGCCCCACGGTGGCGCTGGTGGACTCAGGGTGCAGCCAGACCCTAGTTA